TCATCTATACATATAATGAAATTGTAACTAAGCCGAATCTGTACATTAAATATTTTTTGGAAAATCTTACTGAATTAGACATTATTATCTATACACAGGCCGAATCTATAGTTTTTAAAAATTTTGTCTGCCTGTATGTCTGTCTGTCTGTCTGTCTGTCTATCTGTCTGTCTGTTACCGCATCACAGAAAAACCACTGGAGGGATTTTGATGAAATTTGGTATGGTGATAGCTGGTTATCCGGGTCAACATATAGGATACTTTTTACCGAGGGAAAATATCTCATTTCTGAGAAAAAATACAAAAACTGTATTGTAAGAGTATACTAATACGTAAAACCTAAGCTATTGATTTTTGGCCATCTGAACGCGGGTGGAGCCGCGGGCAATGCTAGTAATTATATAATAATATATATTTATCTAATTAAAAAAATAATACGGGTTACTTAATAAGTCGAAGGCAAAGTGGACTTAAGAGATCTGTAATTGTCGATGTCGACTGAGCTATGGATGTTAGAGGAAAAAAAATGAAATTTTAATATTTTTACCAATTATTGTCAATGAAGAGGCTGAAAGGGCAGGAAAGAAAATGGGAATGAGAAACAAGAATCGAACCCACTATCACTCACTTAGTCAATATTTATTCCACAATTACCAGCACTTTATAAATACTCGCTATCAAAGAAATCACAATTATTAATCAAATCAAAGTATACTTTATTCAAATATATATTTTTACAAGCACTTTTGAATTGTCAATAATACTTTTTAAATTTAAATTAAATTTCAGTGTAGTCAGTCCGTGAGGAATCTACCGCCGACTCGGAAGGCAGTTCTGCTAAGAAGAGCCGGCGAGAAACTCAACAGCTGCTCTTTTAAAATAATATTTGTTTACAATAATGCATACAAAATTACCTACTTATCCTACTAATCTGGATTTATCATTAGTTTATGTAAAACATGACCAAATAGGGACATTACCATCACTAAGTAGGTTTGGTGAATATTTTTATTATTCGCGTATTTTTATAATGAATCAAATAGCGTTGCGCAAGGACAGTGAATCGCGTGAGAGTGCGCGATCATCGCATCGTGCCATTATTGTTCCGCTGTCATTACCTTCGTATTAAATTGGGCCCAAGATGTCATATATTCATTTATTTGAGTTGCCTTTACGAGTTTTTATTATTTTAGAGTACTTCAAAAGTAAATAGAAATCTATTAAAATTTCTAAACGATAATGACATGTAGAGCAAAAGCGTTGACAGGTCAAACATTTAAATTTCACTAAAATTCGTCCAGCCTTTTTTCGGCAGATATATAACTCATACTTCTAATTATGCTGACATGGCTTATTCTATACAAATGTATATATCTTTTATAATACCTTTTTATTTATATAAATATTAAGTAGATTTATTACCTATACCCAATTTATGGTATAGACTTATTATGGTTTTTTGAGGTTTATTTAACACTAGCAATGCCCGCGGCTCCGCTTGCGTTCAAATCACCAAAAACCAAATTCTTAGGTTTTACAAATTAGTATACTCTTACAATGCAGTTTTTGTACATTTACTCAGAAATGAAACATTTTCCCGCGGTAAAAAGTATCCTATATGTTGACCCGGATAATCAGCTATCACCATATCAAATTTCATCAAAATCCCTCCAGTAGTTTTTTTGTGATGCGGTAACAGACAGACAGACAGACAGACAGACAGAAAGACAGACAAAAATTCTAAAAACTATAGAATCGGCCTCTGTATCGATAATAATGTCTATTTCAATAAGATTTTCCAAAAAATATTTAATGTACAGATTTGACTCAGAATTTTATTATATGTATAATATAGGTAGATAATATTAAAAACAGTGTTTCCAATGTCTATTATATCTATAATGAGACATCAATTATTTAAAAGAATTTTTTGTATTTTTTGACGTTATAGTGAATCTAAATACGTTTAAAACTAACTTTCACATCGGAAATATATATTTATACCAAAAATTTGCTTTATATCTGTCATCATACGCTTAATACCAGTTTCACTTAACGAAATATTTCTCCAACACTTTATAATTTCGCAATTTGTTTTGCATAACTCTCACACAGGATGTTATTACTCTACTTAAGTTTAAAATGATTAATTATTATATTAGAGCATTTCGCAAAAAATAAACATGAGTGTAATTTATTAAAAACGACCCAATGACCGAACGACACATGACAGGTTACATGAATTAAAAAAAGTTCCTCAGGTCAGGCTCATTTTTGAATACATACACTGTGGTGTAGTGGCTAGCATGTACGGCTGCGGACCCAAAGGTCCTGGGTTCGAAGTTTAGTTATTGATTAATTATTAATGTTAAGAAAGTCCTAGTGACAGTCCAGAGTTGAGAATTGCCGCTGTTTTACTCCCATGCTTCGAAGAGCAAGTGGGTTGGTCGGGCGCCTTACTTCTTACTAGTCGTGTCGAATTGTCGTCCCATAAAAATATGAGAATTACAGGAATAGAGTGCATTTGTGTTTCCGTGTACATGTTATATATTATAGGTACACACCTATAATACCTTTTGCTCAATTAGCAAATGCCAGTGAGATTGGCCACCGTGGCCGAAATCCGTCCGTCATCATCTATCATAAAATGATATTTATCACAACTCTTGTTGTATAATAGGAATAACCTGTTTGTTAAATAAAAACTTTTTGAAAGTTTTTATTTTTCCCTTTTTAGTGTAGATAGTAGTAGCAAAGTAAGAATCCTAACGTGTTAGGCTTGTCAAATCAAACAAAATAAGCCCAAACTCAAAGTATCTACTATTAGCCGTTGAAGAGTTCCACCTATCCACCTTTTGGCCTTACCATCAGATCAGGTCAACAATACCGAACCACTGTACTATCAACGGAAATAGAAACACTTGCAAAGTTGCCTATGTATTGCAAAATCTTACTGAAATAGACATTATTATCGATACAGAGGCCAAATCTATAGTTTTTAAAAAAATTGTCTGTCTGTCTGTCTGTCTATCTGTCTGTCTGTTACCGCATCACGAGAAAACCACTGGACAGATTTTGATGAAATTTGGTATGATGATAGCTGGTTATCCGGATCAACATATAGGATACTTTTTACCGCGGGAAAATATCTCATTTCTGAGAAAAAATACAAAAACTGCAACGTAAGAGTATACTATGTAAAACCTAAGAGTTTGGTCTTTGGTCATATGATCGCGGGCGGAGCCGCGGGCAATGCTAGTAATTTATAACGTAACACCTACATATTGCAATTAAATACTGATTATTTATCCAATACGAAAACACAATAAACCTTAATAAACCTTAGTTCTTAATCATTGTATGAAATCGTAGTTTCAGCGTATCGCGGCCTGGCGTGATTAGTATAATGACAGGAAGCACCCGCTTCCGCGTCAAACACAACAGTCACTGCGATGACCATCATTAGTATAGGGCATGTCATGGGAGATGATTTGCTTTGCATTCGATATAGAAACAATTGTTGAAAACATAGAATTGCCTAAGGGACGTGTTTTAGGACCTATTTATCTTTTATTTTACGAAAATGACCTTGTTTAGTATATCGTTAGAGCGTTATTGCGAATAATGCTAAGCTCATTTAGTTTTATATTATTTTTATTGTTAAATGGTACTTTAAAATAATAATTAATACAGTCGTCATTAATAATTGTGCTTAAAATTATAATTGGATATTGTAGGTCATTAATTTTTATTTTAAATCAACAATATCGTTGCCTACAATATTGTTAAGATGATAATGAACTGCCATGATGTTGAATGCTGTTTAGTATTTCTTGTATTTATTTACTTTTTACTAAGTATTCTAGCACACATAAAAGTAAAAAAATAATTAATTTCAATTTTTGTAAATAAGCTCAATAAAACTCCAGAAGATTTAAACTATGAAATTAAATATGAACAATGATCTCAGAAATGCTTCGAAAACATTATTTGTATTAATAAAATGTTAAAAGATATAAAAAAGATGACAGTAAATATATATTTTTTTATAATTAATAGTAAATCAACACGCAAACATAAAACGGAACACGACCAATTAAAGTCCAATGAGATTCATGAATGAACAGCGAGTACGCCATTATATGCTAATGTTATCGTAACATCGACTCAACGGCGTGAAGTAATAGAGGCAAAATCGTTTGCATCCGGAGATAACAAGAAGCTTTATTTCTTATGAATACTAAGATTTTATTGATTTACTGTTTTAGAATTAACTATTTTGCAATTAAATAATATAATTGAAACAGCAATACTAATATATAGTGTTGTAATATCGTACCTACCCGTTTACCGACAAAAGAATTGTATAAGCTCAATACTTACTTACTTTACTTACTGTATACTTTTAGTCGCTTTAGTGCTTATTTGTTCAAACGACCAATAATACTTTTTGTACTTTACAGTTTTTTCTTCTATTTTAACAAAAATAAAACTATTTTTTCCGGATTTTTTCGAGGATTTATTTTCATTTTTGGTTTCCGATGTTTCGAATGCTTTACAGCAAGTCACAGCAGAGAAAATAAATCCGCGATAAAATCAGTACAAAAAGTTATTTTTAAAATTTTGAACAGACCAAAAAGCAATATTTCATAGATAGCCAAAAAGCCATAGCTACCTTTTTCATATCTTTCATATGATGAAATGTAAACATAACCGTAGAATAAACTGACACAAATATATTAGAAGAGCAAACAGTAGCTTGGAAAAATAATTAAACATGATATAAAAATCACGCAATTCATAGATGATATAAATATTGTAATAAGCATTATTTTGTCTTAAAATATGTGGTCAAGATTCGAATCTTGACTGATGCGGATTTTCAGACTTCAGAAATATTTACTTGTCCTTTTAAATTTCCCATGAATCATAAACAAACATTTATTTAAAGTAAATAAAATGTCTAGTGTGGAGAAAAACGAACAAATTGTAATACTCACTCTTTCTTATTGTTGACTACAATGACTAGCTTCACTTTCCGAGGGCCCTTGGTCATTTTGCAGATATCCTTGCAGTTTTCCACCGGGCCCTGGGTTCGAATTTTTAACAGAGGAATGTTTCTTTTTATCTATCACTACAGCCCACGGGCTTGCGTCCGACGTCACCTCACTGTCATGTTTCACTTATTTAAGTCCGCTCGTTCGACAACACATCCTGAACTTTTAAACTTAGTCACTATAATACTGATACGATTCCACTCACTAAATCACTGGTTCAATAAATAACACGTTAATACTGTCTAATAATGAAGTCTCGTATGGATTGTTGGGGTCTTATCACCTAGAGATTTGTTAAATGCTGATAAAGGAAACATAATAAAGGATTAGACGATATGATCGATGCATTTGTAATGTCTTTATCTTATATAATTATACGTATATCTATTATTAAAACCTAATTAGTGTTCACGTGTAAACTAACTGATTGGTTAGTACTAGGTTCTTGATATATGAACTAAAAAAGGGGAGTCTAAGCTTTAATATTACGTAACGTATTATATAAGCTATAAGACGAGTCAACGTAGTGACAGAGTTAAGCAAAGTGTTGAATTTTGGCAGAATCTCATTGGAATCACGTCAAGATGATGAATGATGATATATGGTGACAAGGCCCTGATTGTGGAGATAACCTATCAGCGTTACGTGCAGTCCAGGCACATTAGGCCAATATTTGGCGTCAATATGCCGGAATTTTTTCGTCTTCTCGCACACGTAACTTGCGTTCGCTGAATGAAATGTTTGTTTTCGAAATACTAGAATCACGACGTGTAATATTACATAATGTAAATAGCAACTCTAATCTCTACAAAATTATAACGTCGTTCTAAGATTAAGGCAGTGGTAGCCCAGTGGTAACGCGCTCGCTTGGGAAACCGAGTGAAGCGGATTCAAATCCCGAGTCTCGCACCTCTGATATTATCATGTGCGAATCATTTCTAACATGATTACCACTTGCCTTACGGTGAAGGAATACATCGTGAGGAAACCTGCATGTCTGAGAGAACCTAGCAAGTTTTCGACAGACATGTAAGTCCGCCAACCCGCACTTGGCCGGCGTGGTGGACTATGGCCTGATCCCCCTCGTACTGAAGGGAGGCCCGTGCCCAGCTGTGGGACGTTAAAAAAGGGCTGAATACTCTAAAATTAAATATTATGTGTAGAGAAAACTGAAGTATGTTTTAACTATATAACTAATTTTGCTTCTATTTTGCTGTACAAGCAATCTAAGCTAAGTAAGCAAAACGATCGTGTGTCAAGTTCTTATTGTTTCTCCTATCTAAATCATGCAGGATCGCTAAGATTTAAATACCATCGATCAATAATCTAAATCCGTAATTATGTCATATCTCGTGTGCGTACAACAATTACTATTTAACATAGTGCTTACATTAAATAATCTGTGTTAATCTAAATAGGCAGTGGTAGCTCCGTAGTAACGCGCTCGCTTGGGAAAACAAGTGAAGCGGGTTCAAATCCCGGTGCTCGCACCTCTAATGTTTTCATATGCAAATCATTTCTAACATGATTACCACTTGCCTTACGGTGATACATCGTGTGGAAACCTGCATATCTGAGAAGACCTAGCATGCGAGACCCAGGTTTGAAACCACTTCACTCGGTTTCCCAAGCTTATTCATTCTTAATCGGAATAAAAAATTACCTATAGCACTTGACAGCTTTCCATTAATGAAAAAAATCTCAAAGTCGGACCGATACTTTCATACTGGGTACTTATATAAAAACACAAACCTTACCTATTTATATTAGTGTAGATACTGCACACTTTCCTTTTGTTATAAAGCAATAATTATATCGTCATAATTAATAAAGATTGATATACGTTTGCGTCGTATTTATTGTGTTAAATTGTTATCAACTTATATTTTATGTAATCGATATTGATTTCAGAACGTAATTTACTATCAACTCATTGAAAAAATAAATAAGAAGTCGCACAATTATTTTTAAAATGTTCCTCAATAAAAACTTCTCATAGTTATAACAATACATATTATGCTAACAGCTTATACTAGTTATATTCTTTGATGAAAGAAAATTTTGTATGAACTGATAATTCTTTTGGAAATTTAAAATTTAATTATTCTCCCTTACAAATAACGTTATTTTAATACAATATGTATATACGGATTAGTTACAGGTACCAAGTTTTTAGCATTTTTCTCCAGAATCCATCCCTGTCATAGTTTTCAAACGAATAGATTAGATGTGGTTTTTTTTGAAGCTAGTCTAGTAGAGTTAGTTCTTGCTTATATATGATGAAAATCCGTCCAATTGTTCCAAAGTAATGAACCTATTTCCAAAAGTAATGAACCAATTTTGTAAAAAAAATTATGCAAGTTATAGACAAAAGGCCTTTGACCGTTCCGATGATGCAATCTAATCCTTGCCTAATTTCATCAAAATCTGTTCAGTGGTCAAAAACTATGGTAAACAAAAAGACAGAATTACATATATAATTTTACTATGGATAACGGATTATATTTTAATTTTACTTATCGGCTTGAATTTTTGTATTCGCAAAAATTCCAACAATAATATGATAGCCTTGGGATGATGATGTTCATGGAATGTCTGTAAAATATTCAACTCCTAGAAAATTTAGGTTAGATATCGAGCTTAGGCTTATTCAATTGTCGTTGATGAGTAATTAGCGACAATGATCAAGTTCTCCTATATATTGATACCGAGTGATTGTTATAAAATTAAAAAAAAGACTCCCGACATCTATAGGTAAGTCTTCTTGAAATAGTCGTTATTATCAATACAGAGGCCGAATCTACATTTTTTTTTAATTTTGTCTGTCTGTCTGTGAATGTGTTACCGCATCACGAAAAAACCACTGCAGAGGTTTTGATGAAATTTGGTATGGTGATAGCTGGTTATCCGGATCAACATATAGGATACTTTTTATTGCCGGAAAATATCTCATCTCTGAGAAATCTACATCAAGTGTAAAAACGTACCTAGGGACGAACCCGAGCAGAGTGAGAGTAAGTCGCTAGTATAAAATAATCTCTTAAAAAGGAAAAAATGACAGATATATTATATACTAGTAGAACCCGCGGCTTCGCTCGCGCTAAAACTACAAAAAAACTCTTAAAAGGTAGTTTCATACAAGCTTTCATGCCCTATTTTACCCCCTAATAGGATGAATTTTGAAAAATGCTAAAACATGTATTTATTTAATTGTATTGAAGAGCATTAATACTAAGTTTTAAGTAATTCTAATCATAAATAATTTTTGGAATTGTATTATAACGTGTTTTCGCGAGGGAATGAGATAATCTGCCGCGGTAAAAAGTATCCTATGTTACTCTCCAGCCCTTCGACTATCTCCACATAAAAAATCACGTCAACCCATCACTCACGTTTCGACGTGAAAGAAGAACAAATGAACAAACAAACACACTTTCACATTTATAATAGTAGTATGGACTATCATTTTCCAGTCTAACTTGTGTCAAGGAATCGCTATATTAGAGAAATAGACAGTATAATATCAGAGCTTCCAACATAACTATAATGTATAAATGTTTTTTTTTATCTTATTATCATTTTATTATAAATATAATAAATCGATATCATCGAGCTGATATTTATTCTGGCACCATTTCACATAACAAAGTCTCAATCCCAAGAACTGAATAAAGAAACTTTAAGGGACTGTACCTACATATATTTAAAACGACTCTATTATTATTAAAAGAACTTTAGATAAGCTCCAATACATAATAATAATATGAAATATCTACACTAATATTATAAAAAGGAAAGATTTGTATTTTGTATGTTTGTAACGAATAAACTCAAAAACTACTGGACTGATTTAGATGAAATTTGGTAAGAAGATAGTTTGAGACCATAGGATATTTTTTATTCTGGAAATTATCCCTTAAGGAAGTGAAAATGGGGATTAAAGAACCAACCTAGGGACGAATCCGAGCAAAGCGAGGGTCAGTCGCTAGTGTATTAGAAACCAAAAGATAAGTAAATGACGAAGAAATCAATCTAATTGATAGCACATTTCATATGATAATTTATGTGACGTAGATCGTATTTAACCTACATTAAACGTACTAGCCTAAATGCCATATGTAATGAATGCGAAAGTTCTTTAATTTCTCCTCTCTAACCTGTGAAGGAAGTGTTTGCTTTTTGCCTCTTTATATGACGTAGTTTTAGTACAATATTCTATATATTTCGCAAAAAGTACAGAAAATATCTTTACTAAACAAATGCAACTGCCTACTGAGTACTGAGTCAAAGAGAATTCGAGTGGCAATTCGTAAATCAATAGTAATAATTGATAATATTTATGACGCTCTGTCTGTTAATTCAAAACACTTAAATAAAAAATATTACAAGTAATCTAATATATGACACTTGTTATCCATACTAATATTATAAATGCGAAAGTAACTCTGTTTATTTCTTCAATCTGCTGAACCGATTTAGATGAAACTTAGTATAGAGATAGTGTGAGACCCTGGGAAGGACATGGGATAGTTTGTATCCCATAAATCATCTCGTAAGAATGTGAAAATAGGGGTGATAGTTTGTATGGGGAATAAATCATTTCTCAAGCTCTCTTACTCGTACCTACTTTTCTATAGCCGTGTATAATTTAGAGTCTATCTATTTCATACTAACCGTTAAAACGTACCTAGGGACGAACCCGAGCGAAGCGAGGGTGAGTCGCTAGTTTATTATGTGTGCGTGTTTTTTAAAAAAAAAGTAAGAGTTACGAGAAAGAAATGGAGATTTTCTGTTTAACAGTCTTTTAGGTTGCTCTTACTTCATCAGTTATAATTATTTATTAAATACTCGTACCTGTAAAATTTTCAAGTTTAAATAATAATTTTTAAGTATTCTTTCCTGTTATTAGTTTTATATAAAAACTTTTTAACAAAAAAATAAAACCGACTTCAAACAAAAGCACTAAAAAGTAAAAAAATAACTGATTGGTAGTTTTCAT